ATTAATAAGTTTAATTACATGTCCTTTGTGTTGCTCAGGGAAGGTGTTGCATTAGTGAGGGCAACCTGTAACGCCAGGTTCCCATCCTGAGTATGCTGAGCAGAGTTTCCCAGGCAGGGATCAGCAGCTGGGGTTCTGGGAGCGGCAGGAGAAAGTTCAGGGCAGCAGAACATGGAGAAGGGTGTGCTGCTGCATGCTGAGACTCCATCCCCACGTCCTCTTCTGCAGGAAAAATAACATTCTTCATCTTCTGGAAGCCTGCGAGTTCTCTTGTGTGCTGTTGGTGGTGGTTTTTCCCATAACATCGCTTTCATATTTGTTTGTTACATTGAAGCAGGATGAGGCACGGGGGAGGAAGGGATGGGAACTCGCAGCAGCGCTGGGAGGTCAGTGGGAAGCCGGCCCGGCGGGGGGGTCACAGAGCGCTGCTGGGCCCTGGGGAGGGCAGAGCTGCTGTGCAGGAGAGGGGGAGCCGAACCAGAGCAGGGTGGGCCCTGCAGGGCACAGGGCCACAGTGAGCCGGCAGAGAGAGGCTCAGGAGGGGCAGTGGCACAGGCAGAGCATGGTGGGTGATTTGCTCCCATCTGCGACTGCTACAATCCTTCTCCCATCTGATGTTGCAAATCTATCTACTGGAGTTGTGCACTTTGTTCTCAGTCATAACAAACCCCTAATCCCGGGGTTGGAGACAGATTTAGATTCTGTCTGTGCTGGGTGTGGATCTGCCTGGCTGTTCTGCTGTGCTTGGGCAGGGGGACCCCTGCAGTGGGCGAGTGCAGGGGAGGGGACCAGGGCTGCCCTAGAGAACCTGCACCCAGCTGGGCACACAAAAGAACTGTCAGCCTCAAAAAGCTGCACTCGGGGAGTCTTTGCTGGCCAGGAGAAGTGCCACAGAGTCAAATGTAATTTGGGAGATCAAATCCTTCTGACACTGGGGAAGCATGCACTGCCAGCTCTGCAGCTGGTGCCAATGGGGCTTCTTCAGCTGAGGGCCTGGACTTCCTTCACAATTCCCCAATCTGCTCATGTTCTCAGAGCAGAACAGTAGGAGATTTAAGAAAGGTTCTTAATTTCCCCCCCACTTTGTTTCAGTGTTAAGTTTTGTGTCTGCTCCATCCCTGTGCAGCCACCCACCAGGTTCTCTGTTTGTTTCTGTCTCTCAGAAATAATCAGGAACATTTTCATCATAAAACCACAGGAGCAGCGGCCGGGTGGTTTCAGGCAGGTGAGGCTCTGAAATGAGGACTGACAGAGTTGCCTCTTTGCAGCACTATTTGCTGCCTCCATTGCTCAAAACCCAGCCCTGGAGTTGGGTGAGGAGAGGATGGATTGCCTCTCCATCCTTGTTTTTGCAAGTCTTCCCTGCAGTCCCCATGGTCCTGGTTGGATTTGGTGACACTCAGGTGGCTGTGGAGGGCACAGGCAGAGGGGATACATCCCTTCACACGGTAATGTTTTATGACTTTTATTATTTAGCACAACAGTCCTCTCTGATTGCTCTCGGGCAGCAGAGCTCTTTCTTTAATAACCAGAGACTGGTGCTGCTCGGCAGGACTCGCCAGGTCAGTGCCGGTAGCAGTAATGTTATTTCTCTTTAGAACTAATGTGGTCTTTTATGAGATTTTTTTCCTCCCCCCTTCATTTCAACTGAACTTTAGGCAAGTAAAAAAGGATTTTAAAAAGGCCCTTGGCAAAAAGAACTGAATGTGCTGTTTGGAAAGAGGGTTCCTGTTGTGAGATGGCTCTGGGCAGCTGGCCCTTCCCAGCTATTAAAACAAAGGTGTAGGATTGAAATTGGATCAGCTGACGTAAACCAGGACAGGACCTGGAGTACACAGTGAGTTACTGGAGCAGGAGATAGGACAGCCCCACAGGCAGCATCTGCACAGGGATGGCAGGGGGATGCATTGAACAAGGTCCCTCTGGCACCCTGCAGGTGTGTGCTCACTGTCAGCAGATGGTGTCCAGGTGTGTTTGCCTGTTTGGGGGGCAGGTGGCCAGCACAGGTCTGCAGGGACTCAGGTGTCCCTGGTGCTGTGGGTGCTGCTCTCAGGAGCAGCAGCTTGTGGCCTTTCTCTTACTGCTGCTACGAGGGGAACTCTGGGAGCAGCGATGGGGACTGGCAAATGTTTTCCAGTAAATGGGCTCGTGCCACAGTGCCATGTCCCCGAGGGACACGAGTGCTCTCTGCCCTGGAACAGGGATTAAAGTGAAAGGAGTGTGTGCCCTTTGAAGGCAGGGCTGGGACAGAGATGGGACAGAGCCTGGGAGGGGGCTCTGCTCATCCTGCCCTGCCCTGGCAGAGACATCCTCATCCCTGCTGCTGACATTTCCAGCAGCTCTAATTAATGACATCTCCCCACTTAGCCCGTGGTACACAGACAGATGCTGGGTTTTAGGGCTGGTTTGAGACCTGCAGCACTCCCCTGCACAGAGCAGCATCTGCTGAGAAACGTGTCTGCTGCTGACCTGGGCTGGATCCCAGCGGCCAGGAGGGAGGGACTGACATCGTGGGAGCAGGTTCTGCTGAGGCAAGGACCTGACAAATAACTCCCTGAAAATGTCCCCTTCGTTTTAGGATTCCCAGAGGCATTTGGCAGAGTGTGGAGAGATATAAACACACATTTGCTGAATCTGGTGGGAGCATAGTGTGTCCTGAGAAACTCCCCCTTGGTAATCCTTCAGATAGCACATCTGCACTCCCACCCGGGGCCATCCAGCTGCAGTCATTTTAAATGAAAAGTAGACTTGTTTTGTTTTCATTTTTTACAAAAATTCTTAGGCCAGCATGAGGCGATGCAACTCAGTGATGTACTGAGTTGTGGTTTATTTTATCAATATTTATATTTGTGTACACAAGAATGCAAGTCTCAACTTGGTTATTTACCTTTTCTAATTTCATCTGTAAAATATGGAAATAAGATTTACCAGAAATGCCTTGTTTCTGGGCTTATCTGGGCTGGGTGAGAAGTCTGTACTGTCAATTCTTGAGCTCCTAGATATTAGTTCTGCACTCAGCATCCAGAGGTAACTTGATCTGTCTGCCTATATTAGAGTTCATTTACAGTATCATTCAGAGGAAAAGGATAGGGACCCTTTTCTCTGAAGATAGTGTAAAATTGCCACAAAGTACTGGGAAATGACTGTGCTGGGTTCCTAAAGATCAATTTACTCACCACAGAGATGTGGGGTGAGTGGGCAGCTGAGAGAATGGCTAATGGCATGGGGAGCCTTGGGGCTGATGCAGCCCAGGACTGTGCCAGCCCCAGCTGGGCTTTCAGCACTGGGGGCTGCAGGTTGTCCCCTCAGAGAGCCTGTGCTGGTGGCTGCTGTGCAGATGCTTCACTGGTGTCCCCGCAGCTGCTCCTGGCTGTGGTAGGTGCAGGGAGCACCCTGGGTGTCCCCAGGCTGGTGTCCCTGGGGGGGAGGTGGCCCTGGCACTCAGAGCTGTCCATGGAGCAGCTCAGGCAGGGAACAGCCACAGGCAGTTCTGTTATCACCTGGGGCTTGTGCATGGCCTGAATCTTAATGGCACATCTAGAGAAGCACCTGTTTATCTGCTGCTGCTGCTGCCTTCATCTGAGAATCTCCTTGGGCTGTTTCTGCATCCAGCCTGGGGTGTGATTCACTGCAAGCGATGAATTTTGCGTGCACTGTTGACATTTCTCTCTGTTTTGGTCAGCTTCATTCTGGAGAACAACAGAACCCAACACACACACCAGAGCAGGCTGGGAGCATACTGGGAGCATTGTTGTTTGACTCTTGAAGGACCATGCTGAGAATATCACAAACTTCCCTTATGGCTGTCCTTCCGTGCCTTTGGAGGAGGCGTCACAGCCTCTTTGTGGCAGGGACATTTGGTCTCTTTGGGAGCCCCAAGTGCTTGCCAGAGGTTTTAAAGGTCAGAGTTACCAGGATCAGACCTCTGGCCTAGGAACATCTGATGTGGTGCGGGCTATAGAGAAGGCAGCTGCTCGCTTTGCACTCAAGTTATTTTTCCCCTTGCCACTTCATGGGTTTGCTGTGTTTTCCCTGGGAGTACTTAACTATCTTTCTTTTTTTTTTTTTTCTTCCCCTTGAGCTCTCTGGTTTTGCTTTAAGAGTTACAGCACCATTGATTGTATTGGCTGTCTCAAAAATGGTGCTCTGCTCACTGTCTGTGGACTCCCTGCTGCTAAATGCTGCCAGTGGGACTCCAGAGCATTTAGATCAATCAATAGGGCTATCACAGCCTTATTTTCCACACTGTCCCCATCCCAGGGATGTGTGTGACAATCAGAGAGAGCTCAAGAGCCCAAGGGCTGTTGGTGACAGAGTGCACATCCAGATGTGGCTGTTTTGGTGAGGTTCTGGCACCACCAGAGCTCAGCACCTGAGCTGTAGACCTGATGGTGCTGCTGAGGGAGCAGCAGGTGCTGCAGCCAGCTGGCCTCCAGTGCACCCACACTGCTCCACCCCACCTGGGAAGGCTCATTTAAGGGCACCCCACACCTGGGAAACCTCATTTAGGAGCGCCCCACACCTGGGAAACCTCATTTAGGAGTGCCCCACACCAGGGAAACCTTGTTTAGGAGCACCCCACACCTGGGAAACCTCATTTAGGAGCACCCCACACCTGGGAAACCTCATTTAGGAGCGCCCCACACCTGGGAAACCTCATTTAGGAGCACCCCACACCTGGGAAGTCTCCCTCAGCAGGTGTCGTGGCTGTTTAGCATTTGATTCAGTTGCTCAGAGACCCCACAGTGTGCAAACCTCTAAAGAATTGACTCCTGACTGCATTTGAGTTGGGAAAAATTGTTTTACTGCTCGTACTGCCTGTTACAGAACCTTTAGAGTAAAAATTACAAATGGGACAGTGTAGCAAGCCTTGTTCTTCAGGGCCCTCGGTTATTTCATGGCAGAACGTTCCCGGGAATATTGTGCAGTTGTTGTAGCAGATGTTGCTGGCAGGTTTCTCTGGGAAGGGAGCAGCCTCTGACTCTGTTGTGTTCCTGCAGATCCCATCTAATGCCGAGGCTGAAGGAGTCGCGCTCCCACGAGTCCCTGCTCAGTCCCAGTAGTGCTGTTGAGGCTCTGGATCTCAGCATGGAGGAGGAGGTGGTCATCAAGCCAGTCCACAGCAGCATCCTGGGACAAGACTACTGCTTTGAGGTAAGGAGCCGTGCTGGGGCTGTTCTGGGGAGCCAGGTGTGGGCTGGCATCTGGGGCCTGGCTCTTCCCAAACATTGCTGCTCAGAATTGCTGCACAGAGACCATTTCATAGGCAGAAAATTGCTCCCATCTTTCCAAGGAGGATCGTATCCACACAATCAGAGCAATGAGCTCCTTGTAAAGCAGAGCTGCTGGCACAGGTGCTGCACTGCTTAGGGCTGTGTATCAGCAGAGCATGAATTTGTTTATGCCCCTACAGTTTATGTTCATAGAGATATTGGGAAGTGCTAATCCCCACTCAGTGTTCCCAGAGACATTGCATGTGGTCACAGAGCCAGCCTGCTGCTGTCAGTGGGAGTGTGGAGGACTTTGTCTAGAAAACTGAAGCTTCCCTTGTTTGGGTAAATAGAAAAATCTGTGAGCATTTCAGATTCCTTTGACATCTGTTATGGCATGTGGTCAGGTCTGTGCTAGCAGGAGGGAGAGGACACGTACAGCCCAGGCTGTAGCTGGGTAATTCAGTACAGGATATCTTGGGAATCATTTGTCCTGAATTGTGGATGGCAAAGTGTTATTGCTTATGGCAGTGGCTGGGTGCAGAACTGGGAAATGGTTTTCTTACAGTAATAAGGCAGTGGATATTTGTGTTTCTGTGAAGAGCAGGTAACACCTGTTTGTGCTTGGATACAGATAAATGGTGTAGCTGTGTTTGGATTGTGCTGAAGGGGTGATGGGGCTGCAGGCTGTCCTTGGATGGGCAGTGCTGGATGAGAATACATGCCAGTGTTCAGAGGAATCAGACTGGAAAGATAAAGACATTTTTCTTTACTGAAATCAGCACATTTTGAAATGAGTGAGTTAAAAGATCTATTTCTTAAAATATAACATGAAAACAGTCTTACAGAAAATAGCCTCAAACAAAGTGTATAGTTGGCTGAAGTATAAATTTTGCATTGCTTTTCATTCTTTGTGGAATTGAGCAAGTGCAATGGGTCAGGAGGGGAACAGTTTTGTAAATTATGTGTCCTCTATTACATTCCACTCAAGAAAGATAAAATGAAGCTGGATGGAAAATAGATGTGACATCCATAATATAAGAGTTGTTTACCAATTCTGTTCAGCCCACAAGAGGAGAGGAAGGGATATGAACAGAACTTGTAGAAAGTTGAGTGAGAGGGAAGTTATACAAGCCAAACGCTTGGAAAGAAGAAGAAAATTTTGGGGTTAAGTGAGTTGGATAAAGAGAAGTCACACTGTAAAAAAAGAACGTGTTAATTGCTGTTCTGCAAACCCTGCAGAGGAGAGGAAGAATGCCAGGAAACAACAGGGACATTGATTTGTCACTGGTGGCTGCTCACCAACAAGCTCCAGGAGGAGGGACCGAGGTGAGAGCTAAATGGCACTTGGTGTCAATGCCCTGGTCTCGTGGCTCCTGAGGGCCTCTGGAAGCTGGGACTGAGGTCAGCACTGGAATGGGTTTGCAATCTGTGACTGCAGCCCACAGCACTGGGGTACCACTGGGGGACACCAAGGAGCTCAGGGGGTGTCCTGGAAAAGCAGCCCTGGCCAAGAAATGCCAGGTGGGAAGGGCCTGCCAGGATCACAGGGATGAGGGGGGCTCTGAGGGTTTTCTGTGCAGTGGATGGGGAGGGTGCTGCCGTTGGTGGTGCCTCATCCCTGCCCCGTGAGGCTGTTGTGGAGCTGCTCCCCCGGGAGCTGTGCTGGGAGCAGGCAGGGCTGTTCTCCAGCTGGGCAGTGGAGCTCCTGCTGGGCACTGCCAGCCTTGCTCCATCCTTCATCCTTCACCTTCTGGTGGCCGGGCAGGGGCAGTGCCCGGAGCTGTTCCCGTCCCCAGCTGGCCTGGGGCCACCAGTGCTCACCTGACACAGGGAACGGGCCAGGGGGAGCTGACAGGGGCCAGGAGGGGCTGACAGGGGCCAGGGGGAGCTGACAGGGGCCAGGAGGGGCTGACAGGGGCCAGGGGGGCTGACAGGGGCCAGGGGAGCTGACAGGGGCCAGGGGGAGCTGACACGGCTGCAGATGGAGCAGAGCAGCTTGGAGAGGAACTGGCAGCACACCCAGACGAGACAAAAGCGAGAGGTGCCAGAGCCATCTGCAGTGGAAAACAACCAAGTGGCTCCTTGGGAGGCAGCTGGTGGATGGAGGTGCAGGGAATTGTTCCTCCCTCTGTCCCCACCACCCTGCATTCAGACGTGCTCAACCCTGCTCCCCTCAGCTCTGCCAGCGAGCACAGTCAGCACCAGGGCAGGGCTTTTCCACAGGCTGCATTTGGCTTTTTCTGCTTGCTTAGTTTTGTGAAACTTGCTTTTTTCTCACTTGCTGAGTACTTGGCAGTCGGTATTTACTTGTTTCCCTCATTGATTTTTTTTTTTTAAATTACTCAGCATCATCTTCTTTCTCCTTGCAAGACTCCTCAGTCAGCAAATCATCCCGTGCCGCTGCACGTGCTGCGTGTGCTAAATATACAGTGGGCATCTCAGGCAGGAGCAGGGGCTCCCAGAGCCTGTTCCTGGCCCTGGATTTTGGGGCTCCTGGGCCAGGCAGGGCCGTGAGGGCTGAGGGGCTCTCTTAGGTCTTGGCAGACCAAAGCCTTGTCCCCTTGCACGGTCCCTGAGCTGTCCCAGGACACGGCTGAGGGAAAGACAAACTGTGCTTGCTCCAATGCAGCTGAGCCTGTTGCCTCATCCTGGCCTTGCCTCAGCAAGGGAGAATTTAGTGGAGCTAAATTTAGCAGCAGTAGATTTGCTCCAGCTGTGCAAACGTTGGCCATTGCTCGCGTGGCCTTGGGATGCCTGGAGCAGCTGCAGGGCCAGGGGTGCAGCTGAGCCCTGAGAGAGCCTTGGAAAATCCCCTGGACAGGAGTGAGGCACCCTCAGTGCTCAGTCAGCATCCCCTGGCACTCCATGCATGGCCCCTCAAGTGAAGCCACCCTGTACCTCAGCACTGTCTTAAAAAGACACGATTTTATCTGGACAGATTGTCCATCCAAGGACTGGGGATAATGAATAGGAAAAGTAACATTGCAGGAATTAATGAGTTTTATTAATTGAGTTTGTCCTGTACATTAACAGCATTCCAGCATATCCAAAATCTTGATGAGACAGAATACTCTCTTTATAAAGTTAATTAATATCTCATAAAGATCATTAATGCCATATGATATTTAAGTCAGAACTCAAAGCTGGGATCTGATTACAAATCTGGGGGAAATTACATTTTTGGTCACACATGGTAGATGTGATCTTCAGCTCCCATCAGACCAAGACACACAATTTTCCCCTTCTCTCACTTCAGTATGACAGTTACAGTTTTTTTAGGTTTTGAAAGATTAACTTATAATTGGTTTAAAATAGAATAAGGAATTTGGCCATGGTAATGCATGTGTTTACCTAAGTGTGGCAAGAAAATGCAGTGACAGTCCTGTGTGCCAGCAGAGCTCTGTTGGGAAGGCTCAGGGATGGAGGTTAAAGGAGCATCAGCAGCAGTGGAGAGGAGATGAGGCAGGGGGTTTGTCATGGGAGATTCTGAAGGAGCTGGAAATGCTCTGGAGGGTAAAAGGAGGCTGCAAAGATGACACTGCTGGGCCTGCTGGTATGGAGTCTGTTCTTGGAAAACTCCAGGAGAGCTTGTGCTCAGCTGAATGTATTTTACAGGCAGAATATTAAAGCGTGCAAGGAACTGGGAGAATGTCTGTCTGAAGGAAAAAGCCTCTGGAATATCAAGGGTTGGAAGATTCTTTGCGTTTTTGTGTAAAGACGGAACAGCCTCTCCTCATTCTGCCCTGGTCTGTGTTCAAAGGAAGGGATGTGCTCAACTTATCACTGAGGTTTGCTAATGACAAATCTTAGCAAGTGCCAGCTCTGCTGTAAGAACAGGTTGGGCTTCTGGGAGATACATGGAATTAAAGGAGATTGTGTCTCCCAGAAGCTGATAACCCAGTGCACAGTGTGTAAACACAAACACTGGGAGATGATAAAGCACTCACAAATAACTCTGCAGGTTGAGACTGGCGGAAATGAAGCTCAGAGGGGAGTTATTTAAAGTAGCAGCCAGGTCCATTCAGGCTCCCAGCAGAGCTGTACATGGTGAATATTGCTGGGCAAAGGAAATGCAGAGGGCAGAGAGCTGGAGCCACGTTCCTGGTGGTCAGGACCAGCCTGAGTGGAGGAGGTGGCAGCTTGGGGAATATCTGTGTGTGAGGAGCAGGTGCAGGGAGCTGTTGACTTTGATGCCAGGGAAGTTTGACATGGGGGCACAGGAAGGAAATGTGGTGCCTTGTCATTCTGGCCTGCCAGACAGTGATGTTTCCCTGGGCTCAGCAGGATTGAGTTTCCTTGGGACAGCGGGAGTGTGATGAGGAATAAGGGGCACTTGCACCGCTGGAAATGTCACTGCTGTGAGTGTGTTTCTTGAACCCTGGATATGAACTCCCAATGGTCAGAGAAAGTCACAAAAATACTGCTGAAAATCCCTTGACCTGGAAGCATGAGCGGTGAGAGGAGGGCTCAGCAGCACTTCCAGCCATGCCAGGTTGGGAAGCCCCCCTGGTTCTCCCCAGCTGGGGTGGGTGCTGTGAGCTCTGCGTGCCCCAGCTGGGCCATGAGCTGGCACAGGCTGTGCCATGGCCAGGAGGGGCTCTGCAGACCTGTCCCCATGGTCTTCACAGCAAGGGCTCCAGGAGGCACAGGACACCAAGGGGGAAGGTGGGAAAGCTGGCTTTTTGAGCCAGTGTTCTGCTGGGAACAAGGAATGGGTTGTTACTGTCACAGGCTTTGGGCTGAGCCTGGAGGAATGCCAAGTAACCACTCAGAGTTCCAATTTATCTTTAGTTCATCTGAGGATTTGCACTCCCTCAGTTGTGGAACTTGCTGGTTTGAAGCATCACATGCATGGGGCCCATTATCTAGTGTTTTCTGGTGTGGAAGAGGAGAAGTAATTGGAGTTTGCCTCTATGATTATTTCTGTTACATACAGAGTTGTCCTGTTTTTCCACCAGCCTCAGGGGCTGTTGCTTCATGCTTGGGTAAAGCTGTTCACTTAAAAAAAAAAATAAAATCCAGTAGGATCTTCCCTAAGCCCCCCTCTCTCCCCAGCCACACGCTGCAGTGTGCTGGTCAAGACATAATCCTGTTCCTTTCCCTGTAGGTGACGACTTCATCAGGCAGCAAATGCTTCTCGTGCCGTTCGGCGGCGGAGCGAGATAAATGGATGGAGAACCTGCGGCGTGCCGTGCACCCCAACAAGGTAGGGCTGGCAGGAGCTGCCTCTGCTCTGGTTCAGCTCCCAGTTACTGCATTCTATAGCCCAGTGCATGGGAGCAGCAGGGGATTATTGTCATTGGAGTGAGTGAGTGGAGCTCGGGGTCAGCCTTTTTCCGTATTGCTTTCTTCCACAATTATATTTCCAGACAAGCGCCAATTATTCCTTCCCCTCTCTTCTCAGCACATGCTGCTTCAGCTCTTGCTAAGAATTGATCAGATCAGATGAATCTTCAGTGCTGCTGTTACTGATGGTCCTTGCCACTTCCATAGGGCTGTCACCTCCCAGGAGCCTTGGGACAGATGTCAGGGAGCTGCCAGCAGTCACCAGGCTGAGCAGTGAGGAGTTCAGCTCCTGCCACAGCGCCTGCCTCAGTGCTGGAGAGCTCAGGTGTCCATTTGCAGAGGTGGCAGTGGAGTGCAGCTTTCCCTTCTGCAGCCAGTCAAGGTGCAAAATCTTCTCCTGGCATTTACAGGAACAAATCCTTCTCTTCACTAGAGCACAGGGACACCCAATATGCATTTTTATGGCCCACTAAGACAAAGTACATCCTAAAATAAAATGTACAGCTGCTTCTTCCCTGCTGTGCTGGAGTTGGCTGCAAAGATTGGTCAGGAGTAATGCAGGATTCCAGAGCTGAGGAGCTCAACCAAGTCTTCTTCTGCTGGTCAGAGAAACACAACTGATGGGATCCTGTGAACTCCTGGCTGTGCACACTGATTCAGTCCAGGCCTGGTGGGTTCTGAAGGGCCCTCAGTCTCAGGGTTTGTTATTCCCAGCACAGTGCCAAATGTCAGAATAAAAGATTTCCTGTAATATCAGAGTGTGAGCAGGGGAGGGGAGAGGTGGCCTTCTGCCTTTGGCAGCATGTTGCTCTAGGGAAGTTCAGTTGCTCCAGGACTTTCCCAGGGCTTTTCCTGGTGATCCTGGCCTGAGGGGGCTCTGTAAGGTTTGTGTGGTCACACTTAGCATGAGAGAACCCCTGGGAATGCGCGCTGGGACTGGGCTGTCACTGTGGCTTCAAGGTGCAGCGTGGAGTGGAAATCCATTTGGAAGTGTTTCCATCGTCTCAAAACCTGCAGTAACTGATGGCTGAACTTTCCATCTTTGTTTGAGTTCACAGACAATGCACTGTCAGTGTCCAGCTTGATATTTCTGTCAGGAATTCAGTGTTCTTGTGCAGTTCCTGTGTGTACTTCCTGAACCTACAGTACCCCATTGTGGACTTGCAGCAGAAATGTTCCTGCCCAGACTCCTGGGCTGAGCAGAGTAAGCCATGGCTGCTGTTTCAGTGAGGGGTTTCCAAACTAACTAGGGTTTGCAGAGTCCCAGCAGTGCTGCAGCTGCCAGTGCTTTATCTTTGGAGTCACTCCTGCAGCAAATACCCCTGGATGTTCTTCCAGGATGAGCTCAGCATCACGAGGGAGCTCTGAAAGATCCACAGTATTCTTGGCTCTGTTACTGCTTAAAAGATATCCAAGGCAGATTTCTGTCTCTGAATTGTCTTGATTCTGCCATGGGATGCCCTCTCTCATGATTCCTCTCAGTGTTTAACTTGGGTACTCTGGACTTCTGCCCTAAAATACGGTGAGGTTTTACAAACAGCTTTTTTCCTGCCTTTGGTGGTGGCATTCCCAGGTGGATGAGGTGATCCCTGGGTGTGCATTCAGGTCCCTTGTGTTGCTGTGTTACAGGAAATATCATGAACTCAGTCTGTACTGAGAAAAGAGGAGGCTGTGAGATACCTGTAACAGCTTCTGCTTTGCACAAACCATTCAGGACCAGTGAGGTTCTTTCGGATTCTTCAGAGGCCCTCTTGGCAGGGAATGGGAAATGGTACATTTATGATTTGGAGGGGTTTTATCTTCCTTGTTCCTTATATTAATTGGCACCAACAGACATGGAGAGCACGATGATATTTTGGAAAATTAACATAAGTAGTGTTATTATGCAAATTCTTGAGAGCCAGTATTTCCTTAAAATAAAGTGTAATTAAGCCTCCGCTCATTTAGCACATCCGAAATAATTAATTCATATCTCCAGTTTTGTTGTTCTTGGCTTTGTGGGGGTTTTTTTTGACCTTTTTTTTTCCCGCCTCTTTTTTTCAGGACAACAGCAGAAGGGTAGAGAATATGTTAAAGTTATGGATTATTGAAGCCAAGGACCTGCCAGCTAAGAAAAAATACCTGTGTGAATTATGCCTGGATGACGTTCTTTATGCACGAACTACCTGTAAATTGAAAACTGATAATGTCTTTTGGGGGGAGCACTTTGAATTTAATAACCTCCCATCGCTCAAAAACATTACTGTGCACTTATACAAAGAGACTGACAAGAAGAAGAAGAAGGACAAGACCAACTTCATTGGGCAGGTGAACATCCCTGTGAGCTCGGTGACGGGCCGGCAGTTCGTGGAGAAGTGGTACCCAGTGGTGAGCCCCAACCCCGGCAAGGGCAAGGCCCCAGGGCCCATGATCCGCATCAAATCCCGCTACCAGAGCATGAGCATCCTCCCCATGGAGATGTACAAGGAGTTTGCTGAGTACATCACCAACAACTACATGGTGCTGTGCTCGGTGCTGGAGCCCTCGCTGAGCGTCAAGAACAAGGAGGAGATGGCGTCAGCTCTGGTGCACATCCTGCAGAGCACGGGCAAGGCCAAGGTAGGACCCCCTGCCACCTGCAGTGTCCCCTGTGCCGTCTGTGGTGTCCCCCAGACACCGTCAGAGCAGACTCTGGGGTTGGGTTGGGAGAACTCCTCAGTTGGGCTTTGGGTCGTCGTTAATGTGCTCTGTTTTCCTTTTGATTGCAAACCAGTTGGTAGCACACACAGCACGAGTTGCTTAATTAGCAGAGAGGTTGGTGGGACCACGAGACACCAACTGAGCCACTTTGCTTCACTCTTCTCCTGGAGGCTCAGGGGCCAGGCTCTCTCTGTATAAACAGGCAAAACAGGCACAGTTGTGAAAGTAAGCAAGAAGGCAATTTTCCAGGCTGGAATGTAAGCAGTGCTGGCCTGAGCTGTGCAGCCTGTGTGTGCTGGGTGTTCTGGGTTCCATGCTCTGCTCCCTTTTGCTGAGCACCCTGCACAGTGCAGCTGAACAGGAGGGAGCAGCCTCTCCAGAATTCCAGGCCAAAGTGCCTGCAGGCATGTTTGTCTCTGGATCTGCTCTTGGTCTTCTGCCCTACTGCTTTTGGAAGTGAGTCCAGGGGTGCTCCCACAGCAGTGCTCATTGGAGGTTGATGCCACCACCTTGCACATGGTGGAAGTTCAGCCTTTGTGGATCACTTTGAGCTCCTTCCTGGTTGGGAATGCTCTGCCAGGTCTGGGGAAGAAGCAGGCCAGGAGAAGGCATAGAGTGGGAATTACTGCTGGCTGTGACCTGTGAGGGAGCAGGCAGGGTGGGCAGAGCTGCGATGCCCAGCACACGGGGCAGGGAGTGACCCCACTGCAGGGCATCCTCCATCCCTGTGGCCTGGCACAGACACAGGGGGCAGTGCCCATGTTGGGGCTGCAGGAGTTAAAGCATCACTGTGAGCACCTCTCTGCACTGTGCAGGGGAGAGCTGGGGAAGGGCAGGATGTCCAGAGCTTTCTCAGTGCTGAGGAGCCGTGGTGAGCTCCTCACCTGAGGGGCAGTCACAAGGCTCTGCTTCCTTGGCAGCTGCCGCTGCTGCCGGGCCGTGGATTAGGCTGAGTTACCATCTGTCAGACAGAGAAGTGCCTTGGCTTCCTCATCTGGTTCAAGGCAGGCAAAGCTCGCTGAGAGGATTGGGAGCTGGGGGCCTGCTGCTGCAGCCGCAGAGAAAATAGCCGTGCTAAAGCCTCCTGATCCCAGGAGTGCAGGGAGGGACCTGTGGGGAGTAGCACTGTGGCTGCACAAGAGCTGAGCTTGGTGTCTCTGCTCAGGGCTCCAGAGCTGTCAGCCCGTGGTTCCTGGGCACAGCCCTGCCTCGTGCTGGCACCAGGAGCTCTGCTGCCCCTCACTGTGGCTCCTGCAGCTCTAATGCCAGAGCTTTGTGGGAATAACATTGCCATGCAAGACCCTGTCCACAGTTTACACGGTTCTGGTGCAAAAGGCTTCAAGTGTCATCCCAGTCTTAATCACCATGGATCATGTGTGGGCATGGCTGAGAGTGGCTGTCACTGCTCCAACCTTTTTCCTCTGCCTCTCAGTGCTGGAGAGGCTCCAGAGGGAGCAAGTGTGTTTCCAGACATGTGTCTGCATCAGTGCTCAAGATCCCAGAGGCTTTACACAGGGGACACGGCAAACAGTAAACAGACTTGATGACTTTTCCCCTAAAATGGAGCTTCTGCTTTTGCTGCCTGTCATCTGCCATCAGCATTAGCGCCGGGTTTGGGGAGCTGTCAGAGCAACAGGAGTTACTGGAGCATGGGAACCAGGTGCTGCAGCCTGGGCTGGACAAGCAGGGAGAGGGAAAAGCAGCAGAAAGGTAGAAAAATAATGAATGAGAGAAGAAAGCACGCCCTCAGCCTGCCTGGGGGATGTGAGTGCACCCCAGAACCCCTCAGGAGAGCTCCCCTGGCTGCCCCAGCACCCTGACCCCTGAGTGAGGGACAGCAGGGCAGGGACCCCCCTTCTCCAGGCCTCTGTCCCCTGGTGACTCTCGGAAATTGCCCGGGCTGGAGGTGGTTCCTCATCCTTGAGCATCACCAGGAGCCTTCCCAGTGAGCCCTCAAACCCCCCTGCCCTGCGGCCGTGCCATGGCAGCCGCTGATTGATGTCTCTGATGAAGGGGTTCTGTGGCTCCTGGCTGCTGTACTGGGCTGTAGCAGCAATTACGGGCTGTGACACAAGTGTCCCGTAGATTATCTTGGGAGACTCGTTAGCAGCTAATTGCTGTTGGGCTGTTCGGGCCGTGTTTTCCTGCAGCGATTTGCTGTAAATAGGGGGTAATCCCTTAATGAGGCCGGGATGGGGCAGAGAGGTGTGTGATGGTGTGATGGTGCCACGTGCCAGCCACAGCCAGGTCCCTCCCAGCCACCCCTGTCCCTACCCACGGCCACCGAGGGACCCCTGCCCACCAGGTGTGGTTACCTGGAGCTGCTAAACCTGCCAGGGGGGCAGGAGCACCTGGGGCTGCAGGTGGAAGGGGCACAAGGGCTGTAGCTGAATTTTTTCCCTAAATCTGCTTCTTGCTGGGCTGTAGCTGTATCACAATAGCTTAAAAAGCGGAGCATGAAAGGAGAGTCCCCTCTGGAGTCAAAGTCCGTGCTTCCCTTGATCTCTGTGTGGGAAAGGGAAGGACTTCATCCCTGCAGTGCCGGGTTGGTGTGCACGGGGCAGCCTGGAAAGCCCTGAGCAGCTGCCAGGCCAGTGGGTGGAGGGGAGGGGAAGAGGTTCTGATAAGGTTCTGATAAGGTTCTGAGTGCAGCCACTCAGGGGGGAGGGAGCTGCCCCAGCCCGCTGGAAAATCTGACAGACATCCATCAGCTCTTGGCACACACAGATGTCCCCTGTCTCTTATGGCAAGAAAGGCTGAAAGAGGATATTTGGTGGTTGAAGCAGAGATGTGGCCTCTCAGCTCAGTCCTTCACTTGTTACCTGTTTTCAAAACCTTCCTAGTGAGAGCACTGATGCAGTGTTTGTTCCCTGTAAGGATGTTGAGATGCCCAGCAGTTTTCACATGTTCTGCAGCTCTCAGACAAAAAGTCATAAAGCAGTTCTGCTGCCAGGGTTGGAGTTACCAGGAGTGCTCAAATCTGCCTTACAGGGCTTGGTGTGGCCCCTGTGATGTGGTTGTGGGTAGGTGACTGCATCCTTCCCAAAGGACTTCTGATGCTTCCGGAATATTTCCATGCTTAGATTTGTTTCAGGGCTGTCTTAGAGCTCCCAGAGCTCAGTTCATGACCATAAATATACAAAAAACTTCTCTTGTCCAGAGCACTGGTAGATCAAACCCAGCATTAGACAAAGCTCTAACTAACCAGCTGCTCACTGGAAATAAATATTTATGGTGCTGGGAATGGAGTGAGGAATAAACATGTGTCCCTGTTTGTTTGTGCTGCGAGGATGTGCCTCAGCTGAGCAGATGGAGCTGCTCCCCCCGTGTGCATCTGCTGGAACCCCACGTTCTGGGCTGGGTCAGGGCTCTGGGACCTGAACTCCACACAGGGACATGAGAGGTCACTCACTGTTGTGTTCCTGTTGTATCCCTCAGGTTTGCTTATTTCCCTGAGCAAGGTGATGGACATGGATTGCTGTGAGTTAACCCTCACGTTGCCATTCACCTTTTCCCAAGGAGAATTAGAAAAGGCCAAAAGTGCCATGGGATGAGTTCCAGGGCTTTTTCCTGGCAGAGAGGTGTCTGGAGCAGATCCTCAGAGGAGCTGTGTGATGGAAGAGTGGAGAACTTGGGGCTGGGCTCCTTGGTTTCACAGCATCTGTCCAGGACCAGGACCCAGCTGCTGCCCCTCTGTGCTCTCCTTTCCCTCCTCAGCCTCCTGCACCACAGCTCCCTCCCCCTGGCTGTGTCCCAGTGCTCCTGCACCCGAAACCTGCAGCCCTACCGGCCGCTGCTGCTTTTCACCTTTGCATAAGGGCCCAGCTGGACTCTGAGCTAGTCTTTGAAATAAGCAATAATCTTATTACCTTTATCAATTCAATCCTCTTAAGGTTAAGTCAATCCTATTAATCAGGCTTGTGATTTGGAGAACCTTATTATTTCAGAGTCAATCTGCCCATCAGTCAGTTACAACAGCAGGGGTGATCAGCTCCATGCCAGGGGGGTGTGACCACCCCGGGCAGTGCCGGGCCCTGGGGCTCCTCAGCCCCCTGGCACCCCTTGTGCTCCAGCTCTGGACACATCCCAGAGAGGCTGGGCTGGCAAAGTGCAGAATCCTTCCTGCATTTGCACAGGACACGTCCTACAGGACTGGTGTTGCTTGTTGGCTCCCTTGGCTGTGCTCCTGCTCCCACCACAGCCCTGCCAGGGAGGAGCTGCCTTGGAATAGCACAGGGTGGTTTATGTGCAAAGTGGAGACCAGTGCAGCCTTGTGCTGTCATGCTCTGAATTTATTTATTTATGAATTGCTCTTCTCTATCAGCATATGTGCAGCGACTGGGGTCACACAGGTTCAGATTCGTGCAGTCTGAAGCAAAAAGCCTTAAAATAAACATGGGAACGAGCCTGAAGAACACTGCCACAGCCCTTAATTTTGACTGTAGACCTCTTCCTTCCCCTCTCGACTCTGATGTAATGAAATAAAGCATCTTATTTTCTTCCATTGCCAGGGGCCCTAACTGAAAACAACCCCCTGCTGATCTCTGCTGCTCAGAAACAGGGAGTTTTATTGGCTTTAGTTATTGCATTTTATTCAGGACCTTGTATGTGGGTGAGTGAGGCCCCCAGAGGGATTCCACAAGTATTTGCATTCCATTTGTGTCTTCTGAGTGCTGGCTGCTGGAGTACTTAGGGCAGAGATAGCAGAAGTGTGATCCAGAGCTGGTGTGGCTTTTCCGTGGAGGGAAGAAGTGAAGGTCTGGCCAGTGGCAGGGCCAGGGGTGGCAGGGCCAGGGGTGGCAGCATGCCATGGGAAGTGACCCTTGCCAGGCCTCATGGAGCTGCCCAGAGCAGTCCCTGCAGAGGAGCTCACCCCGGGACGCTGCCTGGGGGAATTCTGACCCCCACACTTGCCAGGGCAGCTCCTGCAGCCTGGCTGGACGGCTCTGCAGCCCAGACCTGCAGGGACAGGGAGGGTCCTGACCCCTGGGATGCTGCTGGGTGCCCTGGCTCCCCCCTCCTTCCCTGCTCAGTTGCAAGGCCACATTCTGCAGTGTTACTGCTCAGCTTTGGGTACTGTGCCATAATGGAATTCTCTGGGACTTCAGCAGCTTTCCTTTCCACTTCGGAGACAAGGGGTCCTTTTCCCAGCTGCTGAGCTGCAGATGCTCCACAGGGAATAAAAACAGCAGCAGAGATTTCCAGAGGATCTTTTCTGGCTTTGTGTTGAGTCCTGCCATGGAATCTTGCCTCGTTTTATATTCTGGTGAATTCTGCAGATCAGCCCAAGTCACCCAAATTCACATTAACTGTGGCTCCCACTTGGCCCTGGGTTTGCAGGACTCAGCAGGCAGTGCTCAGCTGACAAGAGGGGAAAAGCAAACACTTGGCTAAGAGACGCTGTAAAACTCAGTGTTCCTGAGATAATTAGTATGTTGGGAAAGTGACAGGAAAGAGAATCAAGCAAAGCCAAGGTCAGCGGCTGCTAATTAAGAATCAGCACCTTGTGTCAGCCTGAGCGGTGGCTTGGAATTGAAACGTACCCTGGGAGAGCCCCGGGAAGATAAAGGTGATAGAGTTACCCAGATAGCAGCTAACGGGATTTGAGCAGGGTTTAAAGTTTCATTCCAGCTTGGCTGATAAAAAGGGCAAAATGAGAGAAAATAGCAGAGGGAGGCACGTGCTTTGCTTCCAGGAGGGATTTTTGCCTCTGCAGCTGCCGGAGCACTGCAGACGTAGCAGGATTTGAGGAAGGGCATCTTCTGGCTAAAGGAATAATGGAAGTGTTTGGGGTTTTTTTAGCCCAAAGCTCCTCCTCTGGCTTTTTTGGAGGGTCTTGGGGAAGGTCAAGGCAGTGTGTTGGTCCCAGAGTGTTGTGGAAGGTGGGAGCAGTGGATCCTTGGGTACTGCAGGGATGTCTCATCCCCTCCTCTGGTACACAGGGCTGTACGTGCCTGCCCCAGGGCTTGCCTTTGCCTGGGACAGGAGCACACTGATGGAGGGTCTGTGGATTAAATTATTTGGGCCTCCTGGATTCAGGGAAAGCTGTTTGTTGAACCTTGATTAAACTTTCAATGCTGAGATGTCCATGTGAAAAATGAAACAGACCAAGTTGCATCTGGTGCAAAGCTCCCATCCAGGCACTGGCAGGGAGTAGGACCTGATGTCCCCTCTCCCCAGTGTGGGTTGGAGCAGGCTGGACCATGGCAGCTCTGCTGCGCCTGGGGACATCAGGGACAGGACCTGGGGTGCTCCTGCTGCCCCTGCCAGGAACAGGCTGTGACCCTCAGGGGAAATGATGAATTTCTGAGGGAAGGTTATTACTGAGCAGGTGCTGTTGTTTTAATGGAAAGGAGTTGAAGAAGGTGCCCTTGGTTGTGGAGGTGAATGAATGTGTGTGTGATCATTTCTCTGTCTCCTGCATGGGAGGCAGTCAGAGGGTTAATGTGGGTGATTAGCACAGTGCCAGTGGCCTCTGTCCTTTGTCACTCAGGTGAGGAGTGACACCTCAGCACCTGTGCAGCGAGCAGGAGCCAGGCAGAGCTGCTCTGTCCATGAGCAGTGCAGAGAGCATGGATCAGCATTAGCAGGTGCCTGGCATCCCTCCTGGATCAGGCCTGGCTGCAGCACACTCACATCAGTGCGTGCCCAGGAGCTCCTGAGCCCCTGCTCAGTGAATGCTGTGGCTGAAGCAGATCTGGAGCTCACTCTGAAATGCTGGTTTTCCTCTGGAATGTGCAGTTGAGGCCAGACTGATGCAGGGGCAGCTGTCAGGGGCTGCTCCTGCTCCTCCCTTCCACTGCTCTGCAGCACAGCAGATTATCACATCCCATGGATTTGGTTGTGTGCACACCAGACCAAGAATGTGGGCACTGTCAATGCTGTTTATCTCCATGAATAGGGAGGAAATGGGAAATTTGAGTATCTCAGTGCATATCTAAGTCTTGTGTCTCAGCCATTAACTGGGCACAACTCACGACATTGGAGCATGGCCCTGGTTTGCAGCCAGTGCAGTTGGACACCAAACACAGCCATGTTTAACCGGGGAAGAGGTTTTGCCCACAGAATGCGAGGCTGACACAAGAACAGCCAAAGAGCAGCACTGATGGAGAGGCAGCTGCGGGTCTGGGAGGAGTCATTGTAGGGGTGCAAGAGTTGAGGCGCTCCAGAGGTTCATTTCTCCTTGTCTCTGAGGAAGTTTGGGCAGGTGGTGAGGCAGTGTTCCCACAGGACCACCTCACGAAGGTGGGCAGTGTTCACACAGGATCACCTGCAGCACCTCCAGTCCCTCGGGTGGCTCACAGAGGTGGGACCTGTCAGGGCTGGGGAGCTGCAGCTCTGTGGAACCAATGTCAGTGCGTGGTGACCCACCATGGGCTTTGCTTTCCAGGATTTCTTGACTGACCTGATGATGTCTGAAGTTGATCGCTGTGGTGAGAATGAGCATCTCATTTTCAGGGAGAACACACTGGCCACCAAAGCAATTGAAGAATACCTGAAGCTGGTGGGGCAGAAATACTTACAAGATGCCTTAGGTACGTACAGAGCGTTGGCAGGTCTCGCCCAGAGAGGCTCTCCAGGTGCATGGTGGGAACGTCAGCTGAGCCCTGATGGCCATCAGAGCCCCCAGCATTTCCCTGCTGAAGGTTTCCCTGGCAGCAGGTCCGAGCCTGGACACGGCCGTGGCCGCAGTGGGCAGCGCCCTGTGCCAGGTGAAGGTGACTGCAGAGCTGGCACCTTCATGTGCTTTCAGAGCAGATCAGCAGTGGATGCTGGAAGGGACTCTGCTGCCTGCCAGGCTCCTGTCTCAGCCCTGGCTCTCGGGGCTGGTTGAATCTCCCCCCAGCAGAGACTCCCGAGTCAGATGAGATCTCCCAGCCGCAGTGATGCCTCCCGGAGCAGCCAGCACTGGGAACCCTCCTGGTGGTTTCTTTTTCCAAGTGCTGACTGTTTATGGCTCCAAAAATACTTCTCTTGATGCAAATGAAAATAATTAGAAGCTTCTGCTTCTGGGCAGGTCAGGAAGGAATTGCTGCGTGCAGAGAACACAGCACGAGGATGGGGAGAGGCTGCCTTGGAAGCTCTGTGAGCTTCCACTGGATCCACATCCCAGGGCAGCATGAGCAGAGTTTCTATTGAGGTGTTAATTTTTCAGCATGTTGGGTTCCTGCTAGTGGATTTGTATAATTTTAGCAAGGAGCAGAGAAGCATAAATACTTTATTAAGAGAATAATAATAATAATGAAAATCTTGAGAAAAGGGAGATAGTTGAGCAAATTCAGGCAGAGCCCACAAGAATAGCAAAAGAAATATTACTTATTTCTGCCTTGTAATGCTTTCTCGTTGAAGGCAAGTCTGTAAGGAGATTACTCATAAAAATTCTCAAAAGCCAGGAGATTAATGATATCAGAGAATTTTGAAATATTCCCTTTTGGGGGCTCAGTGCTGCCAGGCCAGTTCCATCTCGTGCAGGAGGAGCCTGGGGTTCCTGCTCACTGTGGGGTGCAGGTTCTGAGTGACCTTGTCCCAGGGAGATGAGTCACCTGCATGTCACAAGGTGCCCCAGGGCAGCATGGCACTGTCCTTGGAACCGTGGAGTGGGTGATGGGGCCAGGGAGGAACAGCAGGCATCACCTGCAGGCGAGCAGAGCAGCTCCAGAGCTCCCTGGCAGAGCTGAAAATACTCTGGAGAGGCTCTCCAGTATGTAATTAAAATTTGTTTTGGCAATAGGGAAGGAATGCAGATTGGAGAGGGGAAAAACCAGAATGGGAAAATCCAAGACAGTTGGGAATTAGGAGCAAACCAACTGGAATGAGAAGAAAACCAAAGCAAACCATTCTCCCAAAACGTCACCCAAGCTAAATGCTGCCTCCTCATCCCTGTCACCCTGTCCCCAATCTCCCCAGTCACTGCTGGGATGAAGGACTGAGCCCCCAACCCTGAGTGCAGGGGCTGTGCCCAGGTACCCTGTGGTGAAAGGTGGCACAAGAGCAGAAGCTGATGGAGCAGCTCAGTGTGAGCCTCTGCAAGGGTGAGGAGGAGCAGCCAGGCAGCAAAGAGGAGCACAGGAAGACTCAAAGAAATATTTTAATTTCATTTGATGTGATGTTCAGCTCAAAATAAGCCAAGTAATTTGTTTCTTTCCTTTAATTACCTCTTTCTCCTGTGAATCACAGTGGTTTGTCAGCACCAGGGCACAGGCTGCAGTAGCAGGCTGTGCTACCAATAATTACAGGGCCTGCCAGCATCCTTCCTCCTGGATTAGCCCCAGGGAGTCTCTGGGGGCCCAGGCAGGTGCTGGGCAGTGCAGCCTGATGCAATACCCCAGGGGCACAGGGACAGCTCTGCCAGCTGGGAACAGGGATGGGATGTGCTGGGTGAGCTGTGCTGGGCTCTCCTGGGTCCTCTGGGAGACAGGGAGAGCCAGGGAGCTGCCCCAGGGGCACCACCTGCTCTTGTGACCCTCTCATCTTCCCCCAGTGTGATGGGCTGCCAGGGGCTGCTCGGGCACTGGGGCTTAGGAATGGAGCTGTTTGAAGGCTGCACTTGTCATGTCTCCAAACCCATCACCAACTCTGTTTTACAGGGGAGTTCATCAAGGCACTGTATGAATCAGATGAAAACTGTGAGGTGGATCCCAGCAAATGTTCATCTTCGGACCTCCCCGAACATCAGGGCAACCTGAAGATGTGCTGTGAGCTGGCCTTCTGCAAGATCATAAACTCCTACTGGTGGGTATCCTGCGAGGGGCACTCCCTCCTCTGGAGTGCTGTGTCTGCAGGAGCTGGGACCTGTCTGTGGCTCTGGCAGAGCTGTGCAGGGGGAGCTGCCAGAGTCTGGACTATCTGCTCTGGGCATGTGGCACCCTCCCAGCCTCTCTGGCACCCTTCTTTTCAGAGGTGCCAGGGTCACTGGGGCACAGGGACAGGGCAGGGGAGGCAAGGAACACCAAGTGAAGTTGATTCAGAGGTGCTTGATGCCAAATGTGTCTGAAATTCTGGAATAAAAGGCAGAGATGTATGTCCTAGATCTTCCACCCATGCACCAAGTCAGTCTGGAGGGGACTGACAGATCTGCACCTCCAGGAGCATCCGGCAAAGCTCGGAGATCCCGCAGCAGGCTGGGGCTGTGGCACCCGTGAGGAGCTGCCCCAGCACAGGCAGCTTTTGTTGGGCAGATGTTCTCTGGTTGCAGTGCTGGAGCTGAGAGGAGGATGCTGTTCTCCCTGCTTGGCTCAGCACCCCACATTCCTCTGGGTTAACCCCTGTCTCTGGCAGCCCTGGGCGGTTGCTGGGTGATGGGAGCCCTTTGCCTCCTTGGCCCAAGGCCTGGTATGCAGCTGGAGGCATTTCCCACTTGTTTGTTCTCAGGGTGAAGGTTCTTGCTGCCGGTTGGGACAGGCCCGAATCTCCCACATGGGCTGGTGAGAGGCACTGGATCCTGCTGAGGAGGTGCCTGTTTGGCACTGCTGTGCTGGGAGCCAAGAGTCCCTGGGTCTGTGACAGCTGCTGCCTGCAGAGGTGACCTCAAAGGGGAAAAAGATGGACTTGGGACTCTCTTTACTTGGAGAAAGAGAAATATTTTCTTTCTGCTTTTTGCTAGCATGCCCAGTCTTTGGTCCTTATCATGAGAGAAGGAGCATTTTTGTCTCACTGCTGGATTTCCAGCCTTTCTGCTTAAAATCTGGGCTTAGTTTTTATTAATGTATTTAGTAGCAACACTGTTGTTGCAAAGCATCAACAAGGGATAATATTGGAGGAAGGAGGTCTTTGATAACAAGGATTTCTTGTTTTCTCTCCTCTCCTAACCATTGTGTTGAGGTCAGAAAACTTATTATAAATAATCTCCCAAGGTACTGAGTGTGCTCTCCTGGAAGCCAGGAAGGGAACTGATCCTGCTCAGGGGGAGAGCAAGGAGCAGGAGGCTTGCTCAGGCTGCCATTATCTACCACAGGTACACAAAGGGCAGGTTCTTTACAGGTATCCCATTCCTTATCCTTGGCCAGTTAATAACTCTGGCTCAGGAGTGGCGTTTACCTGCTCTCCCAGGAGGGATTCACCACTTCTAGTCAGCAGTGGATCATAATGGCTTGAATTAATGTCTTCCTAAAAATATCCAAAGCAGCACTCAAAGGTCACTCTAAAAATAGGCTTGAAAAGTGACCCAGAGAAAGTCAGGAGTGCACAGGAAGTTTGCTCCTCTCATGCTGCCTTTCCAAGGAGGGCTGAGCAGCCGAGCTGCTGCTCTGAGTGGTTCCCCCCGAGTCCTTTGAGCTCAGCGGTTCCTGGGGATTAATTGGGCTGATGAGTGTTGGGATTGGCCAAGGTATCCCAAGAGCCAACGGTCCCGCTTTAAATAGAGCACTGGAGAGTGTGTGCTCATCTGTGCAGAGAGTCAGGGAGAGGAAAGAGGTTCACAATAACCGAAAATTGTTATAATTATGACATAATTTGGACATCTGGAAAGTTTCAGTGTAAGCAGAATTTCAGCATGTGGAAGCTCGTTACTGGGAAGTTGGGTAATGAATTACGGGCCCGTTTGTCACATAAAGCCAACGATCCGGGTTCCATCCGCTGTGACACAATCAAACTTCCAGGGCTCCAGCCTGTGACGGGAACGTGCGGGTGCTGCATTTCAGGGGTTGCTCTCCAGTCACTGCACAACCTGTCCTGATCATTCAAGCCTCAAATTGCTTAAAGGATTCTCCTGTTTCTGGGCAAATACCATGAAGTGAAAGGGTTTTGTCCAATTGTGTGGATCAAGCCAAAGACAGAACAGAATTTATCCAGCCAAAGACATTGGCTAATGTTGTTATTTGTAGAGCTCAGGGTAAAAAAGCTCAAGGGGTGAAATGTGAAGGCAGCACAGAGCAGAAGCTGAACAGGATGGCAGCATTTTCTAGGCACTTGCATGGAGTGTCATGGCTGTGTCAGAAGGTCAGATGGCCTGAAATGGAGCCCAACCCCCCTAAATTGCTGTGGTACCCCCCACTGTCAAGGAACAGCTCTGGGTGTGACACAAGGACGGTGGTTCCTGGCCAGGGCACTGGGATCTGTGTGCCAGGGACACTGGGACCAGCGGCCAGCCCAGTGCCAGCCTGCTTGTGGGTGGGAGTCTCCAGCTGAATAAATAACACATGCTGGGAACAGGATGAGGTGGGAGCAGGGAGCTGGGGAGGGCCGAGCAGGAACAGGCAGCAGCTCTCCAGAGATAAGGGCTGCTGCAGTGAGCGTCTGCTGGCCCCCAGGGAATTCTGGCATCCGGGAAAGGCAGGCTGAGGTCTGTGCAGCTACAAGGCTGGAGTAACTCCGGTGGGGCTCTGTGTTTGTGCTAGGCACAGTGGGATTTGATCCAGGTGCTTGAACAGGAGTATTACAGTTTGCACAGCCCCCCCTGCAAGCTCCAGCTGTGCCCGAGATTCCAGTGCTGCTGGTGATCCTTCAGGAGATGCTCTCCTTGCTGGCTAAGCTTCCTCCAGCTCAGAGCACCCCATGGCACAGCCACAGAGTGCTGAAGAGCTTCTGTGCACAGTTTGTTTCATATCCCAGTCTCTCCAGTTTTCTGGGATCTTGGCATCCAGCATCAGGTCCAATAGAAGCTGCTTCTCTCACAACTTTACAAAGCAGCTTTGCTTTTTCCCCTAGGTGGTTTGAGACTCCTGACACTCCTGCCCTGACAGACACTGCCTGTCCTTGTGTCATTTCAGCGTCTTCCCAAGAGAGCTCAAAGAAGTTTTTGCCTCGTGGAGACAGGAGTGCAGCAACCGAGGCCGGCCCGACATCAGCGAGCGGCTGATCAGCGCCTCGCTGTTCCTGCGCTTCCTGTGCCCGGCCATCATGTCCCCGTCCCTGTTCAGCCTGCTCCAGGAGTACCCCGACGACCGCACCGCGCGCACCCTGACCCTCATCGCCAAGGTCACCCAGAACCTCGCCAACTTTGCCAAGTAAGCCAGGCTGTGGGCAGGGCAGGGCTGGGGAGGGACAGACTCCGGCTGCGTGGGCAGAGCCACGGCGCCAGCACAGAGTCCCACACTTGGCCACTCCTCTCCTCGCTGGAAAGGGCCTGTGTGCTTCCTGTTGGCTTTTTCCCCACATCTCTCTGGGACTTGTTCCCTCGCTGTCAGGTCAGGGAGATCATTCAAGTTTCCAAAACAGGACGTTTTATGAGCAGGAAAACAGGCTGTTGACCACATGGACAAGCAGCGGGGTGGCAGTGGGGACTTTGGCCTGTGGTGTCCTGCAGATGCAGGACCAGAACCTGATCAGCAGCAGTGATGTGCTCAGCTCAGGAACTGTTCCATCCCTCCTTTGAGCTCTGGGACCTTCCCTGCTATTAAAATGCAGCTGATTGAACTGGGAAGGGCTGAAAACAGAGACACCATCAATTTCTAACTAAGCCCATTGGTTTGATGGAAACAAAGAGAGAGATTTCTGAAAATCTTTCCACTGGCTGTAGCTCTGAGCTACTTATCCTGAGCTCTGATAACAAAATGATGAGCTTTCTGAAACATGAATGGACAGTTTCTATCTAAAGCTCCTTAGATCTGGAAACTGGCTTAGTGCTCACACTCACAGTCAGCAACGCACAGACGCGCCTGCGGACACCGGCAGGAGATGTACAAGTGTGTTACACTAGATGACAGAAATTCTCTGTATTCCTGACCAATCCCTAACTAAAGGGTTTTCATGTTTCCAGCACTTTGCAGGAAAGGCTCTTTAACTAAGCTGACATTAGTCAAGCTGAAGTGATCAAGCCAAGCTGTCCTGTGCATGGCACTGGGCCAGGCCTGTCCCATGGAACTGCTGGCACAGCACCAGCTGCTGCCAGGACAGTCCAAGCACGAGGCTCTCCCTGTTGAGCTCTAAATCAGACAAAATGCTGAGGGTGAAGAGCTTGGAGGGCAGAAGGAGGTGGCAGGAAGCCTGAGGGGACAATGGGGCTGGCCCAGCTTGCAGGGGTGGCTCTCCAGGGTGATCCCAGAGCAGTTGTGCTGGCATTGCTGAAGAGTGCCGGATTCCTGCCCCCATCTGTCACTGGGCTCCAGTCAGCTGAGGGTGATTGCTGTGACAGCATCTTGATTTCCAGTGACAGGTCCTGTTCCTGGAGGCTGTGCCCTGACCCCGCAGTCAGACACTGGGTTACCGAGAACTCCTTTGTTTCTCCTGTTTTCACCTTTGTTCCTGATGTGCAGATCCCACACTGATGAGGGCTTAGCTGGATCAGGCTGGGGTTAATTTTGGTTCCACAGTCAGTGAGGTGTCCCAGGTGCCTGCTCACAGCCCAGGGATCCCAAAGGCTTGGAAGGGTTGAGATGCCAGAGGAAGGTTCTTAGCTGTGTTGTACCTCCCCTTTCCATGGACTGCAGTTTTTTTCCTGATTTAGCTGAAATCTGTGTTGCTCTCTCAATAGGTTTGGCAGCAAAGAGGAATACATGTCCTTTATGAATCAGTTCCTGGAACATGAATGGACTAACATGCAGAGATTTCTCCTGGAGATTTCCAATCCTGAAACCATCTCAAACACAGCTGGCTTTGAGGGCTACATTGACCTGGGCCGGGAACTGTCCACGTTGCACTCACTACTCTGGGAAGTCATTTCCCAGCTGGAGCAGGTATCCAGGGGATGGCAGGGGCAGCTTTGGGGATGGGAAATGATGGAGAAAATGTTGTTCATGTGATTCTCTGGAGACCCCCCAGCAACTGGCAAAGCCCATAGTTCTCTAGCAAAAAGCACAAGATGGTGGTGGTAATTGTTCTCTCTTTCTGCCCAGGGCACTGCCACCAAACTGGGGCCTCTGCCCCGGATCCTGCGGGACGTCAACGCCGCTCTCAGTAACCCGGCCTGCGTGCAGGTGTCGGTCACGGCCGAGCACGCCGCCTCCACACCCAGTGCTGGCAACAGCATCTCTGCAGGGCTGCAGAAAATGGTCATAGAGAATGACTTATCTGGGTAAGAGACCAGCGGGGCCTGGCCACACACAGGGACACACGGGACAGGCAGGACAGGGTGCAGCTGATCCACTGACCAGGCTCTCCCATTGCAGGAGTGGTGCTGGATGTAGTTCACTGCTGAGCAGTGATTCACAGACAGTCACCCACATACTTTTTGGCCTGATTAAGTAAGGAGCTTCATTCATGGGGAGGATGAGGCTTTTGCAGACCTCTAATATTTCTGTTTGTGGAAAATGAAATGGAGCCCACACAAACGGAAAGCCTGTGCTAGTAAAATAGTTTGTAAGTGGAAACTGCGTAATATTTAACAGTTTAATTAGGAATGAAAGGCAGCAATGGCACTGGACTTGCTCTAATCAGAGCTTTCATCTCTAGTGCCTCCCAGCATGAGGTGCAATTATTTAAATCCAATGCTGTGGAGGATCTCTGACAATATGCTTCCCCTCCAATACTTGCTTACAATGCACCATCTTTGATCAGCAGAATATTCACATGAAGCTACTGCAAAGCTCTTTCTTCCTATCCCCAAGAAATCAATATTGCATGAATGTGCATTGCAGCAGGAGTGGGGAGATAACCTTCAGCTGCCAGGCTTTAGCTCTGCTGTGTGAGCACTCACTGACCTGGGAGGCCTGGTGTGGACCCGGCCCCCACAGTGTTCTGTGCTCTCCAAATCCTTGCCAGTGTGCCCGCAGGAGCTTGCTGCCCAGGTACAGAGCAGGCACATGGGACTGGCATGGAGACAGCCTCCTGTGGAGCAGGAAGGGTGCCACGCACTGACCCAGAGCAGAGCAGCCCCCAGGAGTGTCCCTGAGCCTCGTGACAGTGCAGTGCCCTGCGTGCACACACTGCCCTCACTCACCTGCCCGTTCCCAGGCCAGCCCGGGGCTCCACAGCACCCTCCCCACTCCTCACGCTGTCCCTGGCTGAGCCAGCCCTGTCCCTGCTCCTGCCAGGGCTGGGTCCTGTCCCTGTCCCCCTCCCTGTCCCACACAGCTGCGCCACCCTGATTTCTGAGTGATTTCGTTTTCCTGCTCCGGTGCAGCATTCACAACTCTTCTTTTTTGTTTTGTTTTCCTCTCCTTTTCTTACGCACTGACTTCCCCGCAGTCTGATAGATTTCACACGGTTACCATCTCCAACCCCTGAAAACAAGGACTTGTTTTTTGTCACAAGGTCTGCTGGGGCCCAGCCCTCGCCTGCCCGAAGCTCCAGTTACTCAGAGGCCAATGAGCCCGACGTGCAGATGTCTAATGGCAGCAAGAGTTTGTCCATGGTGGACTTGCAGGACAATCGGCTCTTGGACAGCGGGGCCAACGCGCCCGGCACAGCCGACTCGCTCAATGACAGTCAGTCGTCCCTGGGGCAGTTGCAGGGCATTTGGAGCACACGGACTCAGCAGAACAGCGTGACGGGCATGGCCACCGTGCGCCGGGTGGGCCAGACCCCCACCACGCCGAGCGGCGAGAGCGCGCCCGGCCGGCCGCAGCTGCTGGCGCCGCTGTCCTTCCAGAACCCCGTGTACCAGATGGCCGCCGGGCTGCCGCTGTCCCCGCGCGGCCTGGGCGACTCCGGCTCCGAGTGCCACAGCTCGCTCAGCTCCCACAGCAACAGCGAGGAGCTGACGGCCAACAAGCACGGCTTCGCCGGCCCCGCCGCCGGCGAGGACTTCTCGCGCCGGCCGGGGGAGCTGGCCCGGCGGCAGCTGTCGCTGACCGAGAAGGGCGGCCAGCCCACGATGCCGCGGCAGAACAGCGCGGGGCCGCAGCGCCGCATCGACCAGCCGCCCCCGCCGCCCCCGCCCGTCAGCCGCGGCCGCACGCCGCCCTCCCTGCTGAACACGGTGCAGTACCAGCGACCTTCCAGCGGCAGCATGATGTCCTCATCGCCCGACTGGCCCGGCAGCGGGGCGCGGCTCCGGCAGCAGTCCTCCTCCTCCAAGGGTGACAGCCCCGAGATGAAGCAGCGCACGATGCACAAACAGGTGAGTTCGGGCTGTCCAGGCCCTGGCACTGAAGGGGCCAGGTGGGGTTAGCCCATGGAGATTGCTGCCATGGGAGGGGATGTGGTTCTGAACTGCCACATCGGTGCCAACCCCATAGTGGCATCGCATGTGGGGATGTACCTCGGCTCTGGCACCTCTGGCCCGAGACAGAGGCCCTCCAGGGACAGGAACACAGAGCAGCGTCCACTCCCGGTGTCCCTCTGCCACGTGGCACACTGGAGGGTGATGGTGGTAGGTGGCAGAGGCTCGAGGGCAATGGCAGCCACGCCGCTGTCCTGCGCTACCATCTTGTCACTGCTTTGCCTGTCCATGCCCAGGCTCTCATCCCATGCCATAGCCAACCCCGTGCCATCCCCCAGGCTTGGAACAGACCCTGATCTCCTGTACCTGAGAGCCTCCCTGCTGCTGCTCCCATCCCAGGGGTCCAGGGCACTCCTGCACATTCCTGTTTGCTCTGTGAGACCCTCCCGTAGGAGCAGGGAGGAAGGAGCCCAGAGCAATGTTCCTGCTGGGGTCCCAGTCCCAGACCACGTGCTGGGCTGCACAGAATTCCATCCCACTGTCCATGGAGGTAAAATGGAAGGCAGTATGTCACAGGCCTAAGGCCCTCTGGATGTCCTGCCATGGACAAACGGTTTTTATAGTGCTCATTTATTCACTCTACATTTCAAAACCAGCCCTGCAGAACATTATCACAATAAGAGCTCTGTGCCTAAAGAAGAGCTGTAAAAGAAAAGCAAACAAAGAGACTGGACAAGCAGCAAGAGCCCACTGCACCCAGACCCTGAGTTAGCTCAGGCCGTTCTCCAGCCCTCAGTGTTGCTGTGTGTGCCTCTCCCACACAGCAGCTGGAGCCTGGTCAGCGCTGCCCACGGAAGGTTGCTCATGCTCCCATCCGGGGCCGCTCCGTGATTCCGGTATCGATCCGTAAGCGCCGGCATTAGCAGCAGCAGCCTTTGTGTAACACAATCAATGCTCGTTAGGGACAGAGGGCACAGAGCTGTGCAAGGAGCAGAGGCCTGGATGTAGCAGGGTTTCTCCCAGAAAAACAAGGATTCTCCAGGTGGCCATCGGAAAGCTCTGGCCAGGTTCTCTTCAAAGAAGATTTCTCCACCCACGCCTGTGGTCCTCACAAAGTTTCTCTTCAGACCTGAAGTCTCAGAATGCCTCTCCCACCCTCACTCTGCATGTTTTATTTGCATATTGGCATGAGGATGTAGCCACCAATGCTCATGAGCCAAGTCTGATGCTTCTGATTCATAATTCTGGAGGTAGAAGACCAGACTGGAAGATGGCATGGGAAAGCCCCTGACCCCAATGAGGAAATGAAACCAGGCCCCACTCCTTCTGACACAGAACCTCTTGTTCTGCTGCCTGACAGTGACTGGGTTTCTCTATCCAGAGACTGGAACGAAGGAGAAAGTTTCTGACATTTCTGATTTGTTAACTTGAATTCTCAAGTCATTAACTTGAATGACCAAGGCATGCAGATCCCATGTGTTCATCTCACTGTTTACTGCAGCTTATAACAAGGCAGGATGGAAGGGAAATAGCTGAAGAGTGACTTCCTTGTGTTGTGGTTGGAAAATATTTAGGCAGTGGCACTGGCAGTCCCTGCCCAGGCCAGGACTGAAAGCAGCAGACGTGGCTGTAGCTCACTGACCATGGAACATCACTAGTAAGTGATACTGAGCATTCAGACCTCTTCAGCATCCTCAGTGCAGCCTCAGCTGAAAAGAAGCTTTTCTTCTCCAAGAAGGCACCTGCACAGTCATAAGAAGAATTTCAGATCTTGTTTTATGGAATCCATGGAAGCAAAGATGGCTCATAGAAAGATGAAGACTTGACAGAATTTTGATCATGTAGTGAAAATACCACATCTAGCCACTCTGTTCACCTGCAGCTCAGCACCTTCACAGGTCGTGTCCTTGTGAGGAGACAGGATCTGCTCAGACACCGGGGCCATGACTTGGAGCAGGTTCCACTGCTTGACCCACAATAATGTCCATCTGCAGAACAGGAGTTGTTCCAGCTCCAGCTGCTCTGGTAGCTCAGCCCGTTGCTGTCTGAGCAGCGTGGGAGAGGGTCTGCTTGGAAGGAAACTCTCTCTCTCCAACTTCATGACCATTTGTGTTACAGGTTTTTCTTTTGTCATGGTTGTATCATTGTTTCATTGTAGGCCCCTTCTCCTGTGAACCCCAATGCCCTGGACCGCACTGCTGCTTGGCTTTTGAATATGAACATGCAGTTTTTAGAAGATGAAAGCATTGACCCAGATTCCAAGCACAGGGATAAGCTCAGGAATAAGGACGAGCTCAGCCAAGCAGAAAAGGTAAAACCTGATTGGATTGAAACAAGTTTCTGAATAGAGAGAGGATTTCCTTGAATGTTATCCCTTGAGCACCCTGGGGAGAAGGTGGGCTGTGTGCAGGTCCCTGTACAGCAGAGGGGCCAGGTTGCTCCCTGTCCTACTTGGCCTCCCAGGGAACTTGTGGGGAAGGTCTGGGAGGCTTTCACACACTCAGTGACTGGAGTCACCTTCTGATGAAAGCAAGTAAGAAACACAGGAGCCAGGAATCGAGTGCTGATGCTGCCCTGAAACAAATTCTGCAGCCAGCCAGTGCCTCTTACTCTCCCCATTCCAAGTCACCCAGCTGCTGGGAAGAAAGATTAAAAAAAGGGATTAAGCACACCTGTAACAGAGATGGAGTAAGGCACAGGCAGCCTCCTGCCTCACAACAGGGACATGGAGCAGGAAGCAGCTTCCATGTCAAAAAGCTGTTCACAGACCTAAAATTAAGTCCAAATTTTGGTCTCAGAAACAGCACTGGTGCCTGAGGTGACTTTGTGGCACTTCCACAAGCGTATGGCAGTGTCACACACATCAGGACCTGGCCAGTCCAGGGGTCTGCCAGGAAGCCACGTGCAGAGTATTCAGTCTCGGCCCCTGGGCACACAGAGGCTCTGTGCCTCTGAAGCAGAGGGGTGCTGCTCCCTTCCCCTCCTTCCTGGGCAAGTCGGGGATGGGAGAAGCTGGGAAGAGACAAAGTAGGCCTGGCTAGGATGAAAAAGAGGCATAAAAATGAGGATCCAACAGTCAGAATCTGGGAAAATCCCATCTTTGCTAATTGCTGCTTCTGCAGGGTTCTTTCTCAGCAGCCTGGCTCTGCCAGGATTGTAGCAGTTGAGCATCAAGAGCATTTGGGATGTTTCCTCGATGTGCTTCTCTTCTATCACACCAGCACTGCAGACATCATCCCTCCCTCAGCCCCTATTCTGTTTCCCAGCACAGATGTGTCTCTGGCTTTGTTCCAGTAGCCTTCCTGTGCTCATTCTGCTGTGCTGTGTCATTTGGGGGCTGTCACCTCTTAAACCCAAGGAAAATGCTGAGGGCAGGTGGTGTAGGAGCCAGAAGGTACCAAGGCAGCAGCTCCCAGCTGCCCCAGGAAGATCAGGGCAGTTTTGTGGGTTCAGCCCATCCTGACTGGGCACAGTGGTGGGGTTACAAACTCTGATGGCACTGCAACATCCCCAGTGCCTGCCCCAAGCCCAGCAGGAGCCCCCCCAGGCTGTCTCATTGCCATGCAGCATCTCTCCTTACTCTGCTGTCCCATCAGTCACTGACATTCAAGATCACCATTAGCATAACCTCTCTCCCCATCACTGTAAGACCTGAATGGTAACTGAGAATGAGACAAGTGTTCTAGAGACAGGAGCGACTCCTTCGGGCTCTGAGGCCTCTCCTGCTCTCCTCTGAGCTCACTTACGCTGCTCCTATTTTAAGGCTAGGGTAGGTATTTAATCTTTCCTGTTCAAGCAACTCCCTGCTGTCTGACTTTAGTGCTACTGTGCAGCTTTGTTCCCTCATTGCTTCAGGCTCCATGTGCAAGCCCTGCTGTTGCTGTGCTGCAGTAAGAGCTTTGCTAAAGGAAAACCGCCTCGCTCCAGTAATTTTGCAGTTCAGGAAACCATCAGCTTCCTAAGTTTTCAATCCTCTGGAGCTGCAGTTATTTTTGCAGTGCAGTGCTGCAAAAATATTTGCAGTTATTTTTGAGTGGGGTGCTGGTCAGTCCCCAGCAGCAGCCTGGCTGCCCTACCCTCTCCCTAGGGCTGGTCTGGAGTCACACAGTCCAGGAGGACTCTCAGAGCTGGGACATGACCCAGCCCATCATTGCAGTGCCTACCCAGCTATGATGGCCAAAGGGGAAAGGCCAAGTCAAGACACAACAGAGTGCACTTCTCTCAGTTCATTAATTGTAGCTTTAACAGCCTTCATGACTCAGATTGAAGCCTTTTTCCTGTATCTGACGTTAAAAGCAACGTGCTACATTATCAGCTGCATGTTAATTATTCTAAAGTTATTGCAGTTGAGATGCTTTTTTAAAAGACTATGTCCAAATATTATTTTTTGAAATTAAAGCAGTTTTCTTGTGCACACACTCAATGGATTTTCCTTTAGCAAAGCGAGTTTACTGAATGCTGTGCTGCTGCAATAGCTGAACCCAGTTTTACCGAGTTCAAAAGCTCTTAATATTTTTAATTGCTTTATGTAATTCTGCTGCTGATTTATAGCTTCACCCAAATGAACAGTACAACTGTGGGGTCTTGGCTTCATGCAGCAGCTCTTCTTGGACTGAACCCTGGTTTGATGTCTGAGTTAAATGCTGGGCCCCAAAAGGGAGCAGTGCTGTGTGCCCTGCTCAGCCAGCACGGTGCCCTCGGCTCGATGAAGGGTGCAGAGACAGCAGTGTCCTGCATTTGTCCCTGCCCCTCGGGCCTGGCACCCAGTCTGCCCGAAGCCCCCCCATTTATTGCTGCAGACTGAAGAGCTCCTGCGTGAACCCCAAACCCCGCGCTGCAGCCTCCCTGCCTGTGCGAGCCCCGCGCTGTCAGTGTGAGAAGCTGCCCGCCGCCTTTGCCAGGCCCGCTCTAACCTGCATTTCCCCTGTGAAATGCCAGACTCTGCTAACTGCCCACTCTGTGCACCTGCCAGCGAGCTGCCCGCCCCGCGGACCCGGCATCGCCCCTGGCGCCGCGGACGAGACGGAAGAGGAGGTGTCGGCGAGCGGGGCTGTCTGATACGGGTTTGCAGCTCTAGTCTGATACAAGGACAGGGGCTGAGCGGGCTTGGGGGAAAGCCTGGCCAGGGCAGACCCTACGAGGTAACGTGCCACGTGTGTTCTCTCCTCCTGTGTCTGTCCCTGCGCGCTCAGTACCAGCAGGACCTGGTGGTGCTGCAGGACAAGCTCCGCATCTCCAACAAGAAGCTGGAGGAATATGAGACTCGCTTCAAATGCCAGGAGGAGACCACGCAGAAGCTGGTGCTGGAGTACCAGGCCAGGCTGGAGGAGAGCGAGGAGCGGCTCCGGAGGCAGCAGGAGGATAAGGAGATCCAGATGAAGGGCATCATCAGCAGGTACGGGGAGATGGGAGTGCTGGGGATGGCAGTAGGGCAGGGCAGCCTGGCTGGCATTAGAGCTCAGCCCTTCTCAGGAGAATCAGGATTCTTTGGAGATTCAGGCAGGTTTCACATATGGGTTTGCCCCTCAGTGTTACCTGGGACAAGGAAAACCCCGATGTTTTCCTGGTGCACAAGGGCAGAACTTCAGGAAGGGAGAGTTTGGAGGCTCTGGCAGGCTTGTTCTGTTCATATAGCTATGGCTCTCATCACCATCTCTTACCTGTAACTCTAAATCCCTTTCTCCCACCCAGTGGGAAGTGGTTTACACTGGTCCAGGGCTGTTTCAGTGCAGCAGGTTTCACCTTTACCTGAGCCAAGCCCACTTAGTCCTTTAAGTCAGTCCTCACCTGACTGGGTCAGCCTTTGCTGTGCTGTCACTTCAGCTTTGGGGCACCCTGCTAGAATGAGCTCCAGGGAAGAGTAAGAGCCAAGAAAAAAAGCTTGGTTTGTGGATAAGAGGAGGCAGAGTGTGAGTGTAATACCTGGGTTTAGCAGAGCCCAGCCAATGTAATTTTTTCTTGTGTGCTCGGCTCCCAGACTGATGTCGGTTGAGGAGGAGTTAAAGAAGGACCACGCTGAAATGCAGGCTGCTGTGGATTCCAAGCAGAAGATCATTGATGCACAGGTGAGTGCCCCGTGCCAAAGGCTGCAGAGGACACAGTGACTGTCACAGCTGTGTGCACCCTTGGAGCGTGGCACAGAGGGCGTGGGGTGGCAATCTGGAGAGGGATCATGCCCACAACTTAGTCAGTGAAACGATCCCATCCCCTGGAGCATTGCTTGGTGCTTCATGTCCCAGTAATCCCTGGGTCATCAGAACCTGGACACAAGGAACACACAGCCTGCCCACAGCCAAGCCAACATGTTTTTTCAGCCTTTGGATTGTGATTTGCAGGATTGGGAAGCTCAGGTACTGCAATCAGTAACAGTGGAAGAGGAGCATCACATGATGGATGCAAAACACTGTGCTTGGAAAAGAGAATATAAAAATACAGCCCATAAACTTTTAGGTTGTCTAACAGAGACCACCATGTCCTCACCAACCAGGCCTCCCTACAGCTTGTGGCTTAGAAGTGATAGTATATTCTGGCCTTACACTTAACAACCCTATTGATCACTGCTTGGGACTAATTCACCGTAGAGCTAATTAAAAAGAAGACAGTAGTAATTTTGTAAAAAAAAACCCAGCTTTTCTGGGGAGGAATTTGTTCAAAGCTGCTAAATCATCCATCCTGTTCTGTTCCACACTCCAGCAGAACCGAGCAGAACCTGGGTGTCCCTAAGGTGCCAGTGGTGGTACCTGCAGCCTCCCAACAGTTCTGGGACCTCCTCCTGTCCCCTGCACCTCGTGGGGTACGTGTGAGGTTCTGACCATGGCCCTGCACGCTCTCTGCTCTTCTCTTTCAGTCACCTCAGGCTGTACCTGTGTTGGACATGTTCATTGCTGCACTTTCAGAGTTACACACAAGCAACTGCTGTGCCCCTGAGCTGGTTCTGTTCTTCTGCTTGTGGCAGTCATAGGAAGATGACATTTGTTCAGTGTCACAAAGAACAGGAGTGGTAGAATCAGGCTGCAACTTGGAAGCTCTTGCTCCCATCCTTACAATGCTGTAATCAGTGAGAGCTGCCATCAAAGACAGCCTGGGAGGCTACAAGTCATTTAAACTATTAATTTATACTAATTGAATACTGACAGGAATACTATCTTGGGAGAGTTTGGGTTTAGAAATGGAATCCTACCATATTTTGTAACAGCTGAGTTAGAACAAACAGTACAGTGTATAACTGAATAATTAGAGCAACTGTGTTACCTCCATTTTCATCAAGATCCTGAAATAAATGTAGCTCACATTGCACAGGCAGGGGACATTTGTAGCCCTGCAGATTTCAAAAAGTGCTGTGTAGCACTTAAACCTCCCCTCTGCCCCCAGGAATTCCAGAGAGAAAGGTCCTGGTCCAAAAGGCCTCGGGGTCACTGTCGTGGGCCGGCATCCCAGAGGGACAGGGCTCGTTCCTTTCCGCTGACCGTGCCCTCTGCCATTTGCTTGCAGGAGAAACGCATTGCTTCCCTGGATGCTGCCAACGCACGGCTAATGAGTGCCCTTACTCAGCTGAAAGAGAGGTACAGCATGCAGACACGTAATGGGATCTCCCCCACAAACCCAACTAAATTGCAGATTACAGAGAATGGAGAATTCAGAAACAGCAGTAATTGTTAACGCGCGGAGGGCGCTGCCGCAGGAGAGGCCTGGCCGGAGGGACCGTGCGCAGCAGGCGTGAGCCGCGGCTTCAGAGAACGGCTGCTCCTTGAGCACCAGCTCCTTACTGCGGACGGCGCCGACTGACCCTGCTGGGAGATGTCCTGCCAGCACTTTGAGGGACGGGAATGTCGAGTGTGAGATGAGTGGCATAAGGAAATAACATATATCTGAGAATCGCTGTCACTGGTGGATTTGAGTCAGTGTTTAATGTTCAAACAAAAGTAACCTTTTCCTTCTAAACTGCCCAAAGGATATGCCTCGCCCCTCCCAGCAAGGAGTAAGGTCCTTGTCATGCAGTAAGCGAAATAAAGGGAGCTGGGCAGAACCTGCAGCAGGCAGGGGCCCAGTAGGTCCAGTTCCAGTGTGCTGCTGGATGTAGCGTCCGAGGGATGGCAGCAAGGCCTGGCCCGCTCCTCCTGTGACTCCCCCCGAGCACAGCCCTCCCAAAGCGAACCCCAGCTGAGCCCAGCATCCTTTCTGGGGGCTTTTGTGAGGCCACTGAATTTCACAGCATCCACAGGGCATTTATGCAGCTAATTAGTGTTTAATTAACTCCGCCCATCCAGGGAGCACAGTGCAGATGGAAGGTCAGGGCGGTGTGGTGGCCAAAGGGGGGCTGTGTGGGGAGCCCCCATGGCAGGGGGCAGGACTGGTGCTGCTGGGGGTCCCTGGGCAGCCCAGGGGCACAGAGCAAGGCCAAGGCTGTGGCACAGGAGTGGAGGGAGGAGCTGGCACCTGGTGAATGGCAACTCGATTCCTTTGGACAGCTTCTGCTCTCTCACAAATAAAGGGGAAGAGTTTTGTAAGCAATAGCCCCAGGCATCGTCCCACGCACACTTCCTGCCACAGAATAAAGTGAATGTTGCCTGAGCTTGGTCCCTGAGCTGTGATTGAGGGACAGGGGCTGGATTTGCTGGTGCCTGTTGTGGTAGAGGGGGAGCGAGGGGGCTACGTGGAGTGGCAGCTTCCTGCTTGATCAAGGGTTCATTGTGGGGATGGAATGCTCTGTGCTGAGAGTTTTACTATTTCTGGGGAAAAAAACAGACAAAGAAACAAGAAAAAGCCCTGAAGAACCATGAAGATCGGTAATTGTATTTCTTTTCTTTCACAGTATGCATTAGAAAAAAAAAGATCCCATTTTCTGGAATACTGTCCTCTTTAAATTGGGAATGAGCACTGCATGGAAATTAACCGGCTTGAAGAATGTAAAACATGGTCATAAGGGAGTAACCACCAAGAACAGCAGCCACCACCGAAAGGCCCCTTGTCAGGAGCACTGTGCAGGCATAAGCCAGGATTAGACTTTCCCAGCTTCGGCACAGACACGTTGAGCTCAGCTGGGGCGCCCCTTCAGGGGGGCTGTGCCGCTGACCTGCCCCCACCGTGTGCTCGTGGGTTTGTGCTTCTTGCAGTTAGCCCTTCACAAGTCCCACTCTCAGAGCAGGTCCCTCGTACCGAGAGCCAGAGGTTTCTCTGAGACACGGACAGTGTACAGTGTACAGGACATCTGCCTATGCTCCCTCTAAAGGTTAACACACTGCTCAACGCCTGTCCTAGCTCCTCCTGCCATGTGTAAATGTACAGCCCAAGGGACTAGGACGTTCCCTGAGCTCTGCTCTGCTTAGGTATGGTCTCCAGCCTCTCACTTCCCAGGCTGCCTGAGCAGGACACTTTGCCAGTAAGCTCTGCACTGCCGTGCTGCCCTGCAGCCGTAAGGCTCCTTAACAGCATTCTTCCTCATGCAATCGTTTGCAAAATTTAAGATGCTCTTTTTCCTACATGTTTTTCTGGCCCCTGGAAGCCCTGGGCCAAGCCCAGGAGGAGCGAACGTGTTGCACTGAGGTCTCCACACCCCGCCAACATCTGCCGAGGGGTGCAGCACACAGCAGACCCCAAGCGGAGCTCCTCAGAGCAATGTCATAACTCAGTACTTATGGCAAGTACAGTCACCTTTGAATTTTGGAGACTAGCACAGATGGCTTTGAAGAACCTCACAAATCTGACAAGGTTACAACTGGAGAAAGACCCAGACAGGTTAGGAATATACAGGGTACTGTGAACCGTTGGGTACGTAGATTTACACCTGCCACTGTCTCAGAGTCAAATACGTAAGAACCCTGCAAAAAAGACTATTTTAAATGCTTTTGCCCTAAGATGCCTGTTTAGAGCTGATTGTTTTGAATTCTAAGTATTTGTGTTGCAAGAGACTGGAGTTTTTCAAGACAGAAGTGACATAGAGGAATGGAAACACTAACAGGGCATGGGGCGGGCGCCCCACCAGCGACGTTTCCATTCATACATGGAAGTAATTTTGGGATGCAGTCAGTGCTCTCCATAAGAGCTGGAAAAAGAAACACCCACAAGCCAATTATTTAGTGCTGAAGCTAAGCACAGTACATCTTAATCTTCTCCTCAACCACAAGCCAAGGCACTGCTCCCTCCCCACCCTGATCTGTCACAAACTCCTGGTTCCCCTCAAACTTGCAAATTACTGAACACATTGCTCTGCTGAAATAGCAGGAATGCTTAAATCCTTCCACAGCCAGTTATTAAAATCTTAAAAGTTCCAGTGCCAACACCTTCTGGAGTTGATGCTTAGTTTCCAGAGCCAGTACAAAAAGAAATTTAAATCAGGATGAAGTCTCGTTACAGTAGAGATTCCCCCCTGTTTTTCCCTATTTCCTTTTTCTGCAACTGTCAACAACTGGACCTAACCATGACTCTCCCCTAAAAAGGTTTGGGGGCAGGTGTTCAGGCCCAGGCTCAGTTCTGTCCTTCAGTTTGTGTTTCTGTTATTTATAAGCTGTACATTTCTCTGTGTGTGTGCGCGTGTGAGTGCAGGAGCCCGCGTGTTCCCTGCCATGGCCTCGGAGCTGGTACCTGGCATAGCAATACCTGGATCCCGAGAGGTGCTGCAGCACCAGAGCAAACCACACTGTCCCCAAGGTTTTGTGAGCGGCTCCATTTCCTTCCTGGTTCTTGCGCTTTCTACAGTGAGAGGCTGTTCTAGTGCAAACTCATCAAAGTGTAAACAAAGCAAAAACACTCCAATTTTTATCTTAATACAAGTCTTAATATTTTTTTGTAAATGTTCTCAGTGTTTACTGTACCGTATCTATCTCACTAACAGTTGTATATAGTAACTTACTCCTGGTGCTGCTTATTCGGTCGGGATTTGGCTGTATCTCAATCTCACTGCTGTGTTGGAGAGGTGGGCTCGGGCTGCCAAATCTGGATCCAGACCCATGTTCTGATTCCAGCCTCCTCCCTCGGGGATCTGAGGGAAGGGAGCAAAGCCATGGATCCAGATTTGTGGTGGGCCCACCTCAAAGATTCTGTTTTTAGAGTTTTGATTTGGGGTTTTGTTAAACTGTAGTGAACGCTCCTGAAAAAATGAGCGGGTTTGTGTGAAGGGGGATGAAGGAGACTGAGCGGTATCCCAAGGTCTCTGTGGACTGTAAGTATCATCATTTGGGACAGGGATTATGGCTTCAGTGCCAAAAGATGGGAGGGAACCCAGTCCTTCCCCATGCCAACTAATAATACTACAGTGTAGTCACCAGCCCCTTCTGCACCAGTTTAAGCAAATCCTGCCACCATCCAAAGAGTCCGGTGTCACTTTGCATTGTCATTTGAGTCTGGTTGGTTTTGTTTTCTGCTTCTGCAGCTGTAAAGCACTGATTGCACTGTGAGAACACGTGGAACCCTCTGGTCTGGGAGCCAGTCCCAGAGGTTGCTGCAAGGTTGCAGGACACAGGTTCTGCTACTATGAATACTCCTAAAGGGCAAAGGGACTTGCTGGACCTCAGTGAGGTGTCACAGGCTCTCCTAGGAAAGCAATCAGCAAGGAATCAATCGTTCCCAAAGCTTAGATAGCTCATGAGCTTTTTCCTGTTCCTAATGTCCACACCCAGAGGTAATAGAAAATGTGCTGAGGTCTGTTCTGTGATGGACAAGGAGAGAGAGGATTTCCAGTCACAGATGGCAGATGCATTGGTGTGTTCAGCCAGGACAGCCACAGGCTGTAGCCCAGGGGTCTGATCTGAAAGGGGCTCATTTACCCAGCAATCCCAGAGCAGGGGGAGCAGCCCTGGGCCGAGGCCTTTCTGGCAGCCGCCTGTGACCAGTGGGTCCAGCAGCTCCCCCACAGTCCCTGCCCTGTCCCCCACACAGCTCTGCCTGGACAGTACAAAGCAAAAGCCCAAAGGGAACAGCTGTGGCACTGTTCCTAGGTGGACACTCCGTCATTCCCACCTGCAGTGACTGCTGGGGTCACTTCCTCCCAAAGGTTTGTGTTAAAAGCAATCCAGGGTGGCCAGGACTGGGAGCTGGTGTGGGGCAGAGCCACGGCCTCAGGGGCACCAGGAGCTCCCTTCAGTGGCCACAGGAAGGGACAGTCCCTGCCATCCCCAGCCTCTCCCTGAGCCTCAGGGCTGTTTCAGGGAAGACTGCTCAGCCAGAAGGCTCAGACAGTGGCACCTGCCCTGCTCTGACCCCACACAGACAAACTGCTGCCTTCTCCTTCTGCCTTTTCCTTCTGTCTTGGGGAAAATCACCTGTGGGGGAGCGGGAGGACAAGAGCAGCATGAGAACATGCAGCTCATGGGCTGTCCAAACCAAATCCAATCCTGAGGGCATTGCACAACATGCAGAAACAACCATGCTTCTGAAAAGGGTGTCACATTCAAGCATTGACTTTCACAGATCACCTGAGCTGTGACATTGCTGTAAATGCCATGTGGCTCTGCATCAGCTTCCAGTATCCCAGAGTGCAGCCTCCATGTTCACATATTCCTTTATCATACATCACTGTGTCTTAAGATATACCTCTCTCTGTATATCTGCTTAGGCTGATACTTGTTCCTGATAAGCAGTCGCTATGTTTTATATCCTCTTATAAAGAAAAACAAATCTTTTTTTGTAAGTATGTTTAAAAAACAAAAATGCAAAGTGGAAGTGTTTGCTGAATCTCCTTCAGCTCCTTTTAAACTATGTAATAATGTACAGAGAAAGTTGTTGGTGTTCAAAGAAATGATGTGGCTGTGCAATTTATGTACATTTGCAATTAGAAATATTAAAGATTTATTTAGATATTTTACATAAGTGCTTCAGCACCTCTACTCAGTCATTTCCAGCTTTTAGAGCATCCTGGCACATGCCACATGCACACACAAACCTGTCTTATCTGCCTCCCCAAAGAGATCACTGAAATTTGCTCCCAGTAGAATTTTAGCCCTGACTCCCCCACTTTCCCTTCACTTGCTTGGGGGGTGTGACAGCCAGGCCTGCTCCTGTCCCCACCAGTCCTTACAAACCACCCTTCTGCCTCCAGGAAAAGAAAACTTGGAGGAAAGTCATTAAAACCCTGGGCAGCATCAGCACCTCTGCCTCATTAACATAATCATAATTAGCTCCTCCGGGAGAGGTGGAAGTCAGGCTGGCTGCATCGAAATGAGCGGCGATGTGGAGAGCACCTGTGGCTGTTCCTGTGCTCACAGGGCTGGAGCCGGGCTGGGCACTGGGCTCCTCCTGTTCCTGTCAGGAACCGGCCCCTGCCCAGGGAGGGACACCAAAACCCACCCAGGCCAAAATCCTCTCTCAGGGCTCTGCCATGCCCCTCAACACTGTTGATTTTGAAGGCTGAGAGAAAGAAAAAATGCAGCCCTGGAAACACAGAACCTCCGAGAACACTGCAAGGAGGGATTAGTCAAAACCACCTTGACTTGAATAAAAGCTCCTTAGCGGCTGTTGGGCTTCATTAGAGCAGAGCTGAATTCTCAGCCAAAACCACCCAGAACGTCTCTGTGCCCCTGACAACTCTCAGCATCTGCAGCTCCGCAGCCCGGCTGCAGCCGCTCCCGTGGGCCCCGG